CTGGGCTGACATTACCAGAATCTCCAGCAAGTACATGTACCTTCAAATGCTTCATGTGTTGCACCAGCTTSTGTTACTCAGAAATTCTCAAAAAAGTTGCAAAATTACAGTAACCCTGCCACTGTTTTCTACAGAATTTWAAAAAAAATTCCAAACAAACCCAAAAAAAACCACACCATAACTAAAAAAAATCTACTCTTATTTTCTGCTTTTATGAACAGAGAATAAAAGGTATTAGAGACCACATTAAAAAAATCTACTCTTATTTTCTGCTTTTATGAACAGAGAATAAAAGGTATTAGAGACCACATTATGTTGACTAGAAAATAATGGGAGAACTGAAAATATATTTGTTATCAAATGGCTGCATAAACATGAAGTTCTGATGAGCTAAGATTGCCACTCCTGGATGATACTCATAATGGTTTTTGTTAGGTCCAATTAATCATGAACTAGAAGTTTAAAACAGGAATTCAATAAAACAACTAATGAACACTATGCAAAAAAGTACAAAGTCTTGCCCAATCAATAAAACAATTTGTTCACAGACACAAGCCACAAAAGCTTATCTTGACATTAAGTTCCTCTTGCTCAGATAAGGAAATAAAGCAGCAGCCGAAGCTCTGCATCTTTTAAAGGCGGAAAAAACATTGTGAAGTGTCCCAATTCACTTGTAACAGCAATTCCTTACATTATCAGGACTCTTTTACTTATAGCACTGACAGTAACCATGCTCACAGCAGAGCAGCTGACTTTGAACAGGCTGACCTTGAGCAAGCCAACGACCTCAGCAAAATGTACTCCTGGATTATTTCACTGCCCCAGCCAAACAGCCTCACCATCTATAGAAATCTCGGCCTCTGGCCACCACCCCTGACTATTTTAAGATATCCCAATACACTTCAGTGATGCACAGTTCAAAGTGATAGAATAACATCTGCTAGCATGTTGAAGTGTGAGTTGTTTGCAGAGGCGTTTTGAGCTCGTTCTTGTACCGTGCTTACCAAACTGACAGGAAAATCAATTTATTGCTTATTACTGCAATAAATTGCTTCATATTTAAACATATCATCCCGAAAACTGAATAAATATTGAGCAAGAATTTTAGGCATTGTGAAAGGAGAAAAAACCCCAAGACATCCCATTCTAGATAAGGCTCATTTAGAAACTTCAAGTATGTGACAGCAATGGGTGAATTTGAAGAGGCAGTTGCTTCCTGAGATGTCAGCTTTGCACAACTTCYCCCCTTGATCACTGCTATAAAGAAAAGCTGTATTAAGATAGGAATTTATTTGTATRCAGGTTTTCAACTGCTATTTTACACATACAGAAATTGTATGTTGATCTGGTACCAGGGGAAGATAATTGTTAAGTTACTTGAATACAACGCTTAGTACTGATTCATAAGTTCCCATCTCACTGACAACCTCAACCTACAGAGAGAAAACATTAAATTTCCAAAAATCACTCCAGGGAGAGTCACTGACAGCCTGTCTTCTTGAGAGCCCCTAGAGTGACAAGGACGACAAGTTACAAAGGCCAGGGAGAAAACAAGCCTCTCTGGGAATTTATGGCCATGAGAATTTTTTTTTTTTTTATTATAAGCATTCCTTCAAAAGAAAGGGGGACAACAAAAAGTCAAGTAAATCACATAAATTTGAGGGAAAAAAAAAAAAAAACCCGAGCATAAGCTGTTGGTGGTTTATGCTGAACTTTAGTATGAAGCTGGAAAAGTCATAAATAAAAAGCTGTCCTGGTGCAACAGCCTCAAAGCATACACAGAGCCGTCACTGGACTCCAGCTCACAGGCTCTAATTAAACCACACAGCTCAACTACTTTATTTTTTGGCCAAAACSCTTTAAAACAGAAGGGCCCATATCAGACCAAATCACTCTGAGCTTCAGCAGAACTGACTGGGCAAGTGGAAACAGCATCATGACCACAGAATACAATTATTATCACTTCTCAGTCCTCTCTGATCTCCATGGGAGAGGAGGGTACGAGAAGGAGAGGGGAAAAAGCCTGCTCTCATCCACCAGCAACACATCCAACAGCAATTTTTCCATCTCTCTGAGCTCTAYTGCAACACTATTGACATTTGGCATTTTGTCTGGAACAACTCTGTTGATTAGCAGCTCTCCTTAGTTGGAAGGCTGGAGGGAGAATATCACTGTCGGGTTCTGGAATGAGTTGACTGYACCAAGTGCATCTACTCACATCATTTGCTTTTCCTTATGAGTGCACTGCTGAATACCTAGGATCGTATTTTACTGCTGTCACCAGTGGAATAGAAAAACATTTCCAAGCTACAAGCATCTCTTACTAACCAGACACCTTCCATTCTGCCACATCACCCAAGTTGCCCACCAGGCAACTTTATCAGGTCCAGCTGGTACCCAGTTTAATATGGAGATCAGTTTTATTGCCTCCCACTYGTTTTGTTTTCCCAATGAATTTGGCTATTCTGAACAGCAGTTTGCTGTTGGCTGTTCAGCTATTTACAACAGCAGACCCATGGATGCCAAAAGGAACATCCTCTGGTTGGGAAACCGAGTGCTTATCCCCAAAACACATTTTTAGTCAAGCTTCCAACTCACTCTACCAGCAATAGAGTCTGACACAGCATAAAGATGATGTTTTCTTTGGAGACAGGAGGAGAAATAACCATGGAGGCTGATGATGAGCCACTGTTCAACTCCCTTTGGGGGCTGTGCAGCAGAAGCCTGCAATGAAGCAGCAAATCCTACACCTGCAATGGCTAAATCCACAATATTAGAGGGATTTCATAAATGATGAGTTTGGTGAGATTTACTGAAGACTCATTTTCAAAATAYCCTTAGGAAGACAACCCAAATTAAATCAATATGAAGGTGATTCCCTTGGAAAAAAAAAATTAAGCAGTAACTCCTTGAAAAGTTACTCCTGAATGCAATACACTGAGGAGGCCACTGCCATGTTTTTACCATGAAAACAGAGAGGAAGGTTCCCTGGCTCCCTGAAGCAGATGGGCAGGACTACCTTGACCATTTCAGACCACTCAACTCCTCTTGGAGGCTGCTGCTCATTGCATACTCTCATTTTGAATCCCCTCTTCTCATTTGTGCTTTCCTAAATGCACCTCACCTCAGGAAAGAGGCAAAACAGAGGAAAATTACTTCCAGAGAGAAACACCAGGCCCTGGGAAAACTTTCTGCCTGTCCAGAAGAGCACAAGATTCCAGACTCAGATGATTTGATTCTCCTCCTCCACAACCTGCACTGCATGATAAGGGGGAAGGAAGCTTTCAATTTGGGATGCAACACTCCCCTTTCCATAAGTTGGGACACAGTTGACCAAAAGGACAGMAACACACTTCTCATACCATTTCCATAAATGACAAAAACTTGATCACCTACACTGTGTGTAAGGGCATTTTCTTTTGAAAATGTACACACTGCTTAGTTATTCCCCTTCTTAGATCACTCATTAAAGGTCAGCAGTCTTAACGTGTGAGGCCAGAAGCAAAAAAGGGCTTCAAATACCAGATCTCTCTAGYCCACAGCTATTAAAATCCAGACCAGCATAAAAAGAGCATGTAAATACAGACACTGCCTTTCAGRGAAAGAGCATTGAGAATAACATCTCATCTTTAAAACCAATAAAAATTTATCTGTGACTTCAGATAGTATACTGCAGTTAGTATTTATCCATACCCATACTCAACAACTTCTAGCAATATAACAAACAGGAGTCTCCAAAAGGTAACAAACTGTCAAAATCTGCTTTTCATATGCCTGATTTGTCCTGAGAGGCCCAAAACCACAAATTCCTAAGGGCTGTACAGCTTTTACACCAAAATTAACTCCCAGGTTACTTATTTTCTTGTTCCCCCTCATGCACATTTCTGTATAATRTGGGCATGCATCAATCTATATAGCTTCCCAATTTAGTTTTCTGTTGATGAACTCCATGTAGTTTTTAAACACTCTGCATTTTGCAATTAAGCAATAGAGAACGCAGGTGATGAATTAGAATATTTWAAGTGAGCAATGTACATGAAGCATTTTTGTTTACAAGCTACAGTAAAAAATAGATTCCTCTGGCATAAATTCCAATCACTAATTTCATCAAGCACTGCACAAGTTTTCATTTCCAGCATGAATMGCTGTAAAATATTTAAAATTTTCTTCAAAGTATTCATTGTCCTAGTTCACTAGCTTTTCACTGAATTGGCAGGCAGGCAATACACAGCACTACTACTGCCAATGATGCAAAGCAGAACTGAAAAAGGTCCYCAATCTAGACAAGTTCAATTTATTAGGAAAACAAAAGGACTAAATATTGATAATTTTTAAATGTCAGGCAGATTGGATAACTATGCATAGAAAACTTAAAAAAAACCCCAATCAAACAAAACTATCAAAAACATACATCCATTTCACCCTGAACATTTAAGCATCCTATCACTCCCTAACTCCAGAGGTTCAYTGAAGTCCACAGCTGCTGATGGCACTCAGTCAGAATGGAGTTTCTAAGAACTAGGGAAAATATTTACAAGTGCTGGAGAAAAACAGAGGCATTTACATAATCTYTGGCAACAGGATATAGAAACATGGCACTCCTAGTACACTGTCCAGCTGCTTACAGAAAAAAAAAAAAACATCATCTAAGGAAGGCTGGAAAGATATCCTAAACAAGCAAGTGAAAGATAATTTTTTCTCTTTTCCTTTTAAACAGTCTCAGAGGTCTCAAAATAACACAAAGTGATGACTTCAGAGACCAACACAAAACACAYTTCCAGGAAAAAAACAACACTGCAAAAACATTCAAAGCAAGTATTCACATTCAAAATGGCAACCAAACACAATCTTCACTTGGTCTAAATCCTTAGATAGTTTTATCTTTTACATATTATTCTTATTAATTACCTGGAGGAGTAATTATTTAAACCATTAACTTTCAGAAATGCTAAAARCTTTTCCTATTAACAGGTAAAAAAACCAAAGTAAAAGACACCTACCTGTAATACCGAGATTGTAAATAAGTTGAACAAATAGTCTTTGATACATGGCTGGCAGACCCAAAGTCTATGACTTTGACCCGGTAAGGCTGCCGAACGGGATCCACCAACATAATGTTCTCTGGTTTGAGGTCAGCATGGATTAAACCCAGACTTTTTAGTTTTTTCAGTGCAGTGGCCACCTGTTGCAGAATAGGCCTTATTACTTTCAGTTGCAGAGGGCTGAATTTGTTTTGTTTCAGGAAATCGTATAAATTCTGTTCCAACATCTCAAAAACCAGACAAGTGTGGTTACGATGCTGAAAGCAYTCATAGGCTCTCACAAAGTTGAATTCATCAGCATTTTCAGTGCTTAGTCTCGCTAAGATGCTCACTTCTATTTGCCCTTGGCGCGCGTACGAAGGATGATTCTTCAAGATTTTGATTGCCACGATCTCATTCGTCCCCCTTTTCCAGCATTTCACTACTTGTCCAAAGGTCCCTCGTCCCAGGAAATCCAGAACCTCGTAGGTGTTTTTCACAGAGCACAACACCTCGTGCTGCACCAACTGGTAATCCCCATCCCCGCTGGTCCCGCTCTGCTTGGAGCCTGCTGCTGTTGTCACCACCGTCACCGGGTTGCCCACGTTGGTTTGCAGCATTGCAGGCAGGATGGAGAGCTCATCCACAATCTGCATGGTGCCGTTCTGGTTATCCAGCTCCTCGCTTTTACGCTTCAATCCACATCTCTGGGCTCCTTCCAGGATATCCGAGTGGATTCCCTGCGTCCCGGCCCCGGGGGCCTCCAGCTGAGCCCACGCTGCCAACGCTTTTGTAGCACCTGCAGTGTTTKTTAAAGCAACAGCATTTGACTGCAACCAAAAGTTCTGTCCTCGAGGTCTATCGAATGGGTTTTTAGTCTGAAAGAAAGTACTAACCCTGTGGGGAGAAATTCCAAAGTTTTTACCATTCACATAGATTTGTGGGTATGTTCTTTCGTGGTACACACAACTGCTTGGTTCTAGTTTGAGTTTCTTCACACTACAAAAGGCACTTGACTGGGTTTGATAAACATATGGTGGATAGACCAAGACTTGTGAGGCCATACCTACAGAGGGAGAGAAAAAAGAAAAAACAAGTGAAAATCATGCACATTTCCAAGCTTTCCAGCAGTGCTACTTCTAAAAGAAAAATCAGGACACAATTAAGTTYTCCAAATGAGCTGGTCTAAAGTTGTTTCATGCTTAGTTTCTTGTGACCAGAACAAGGCCCTCACACCTTACCAGTGAACACACCAGGACTTTGGCACCACTTTAGCTGGTTGCACTGGGATAACCTGCAGCAGGCCAATGCATGACATTTTTCAAGCACGGGACCTATCTTGGTGCTATTCAACTCAGCTTTCATTTAAAACCTCCCACCATTTCTACACACAAAAGGAGCACAGTGTTGAAGAACACAAGCAAAAAACCAATTCAAATATTTAGCAATGATGACATAAAATAACTCAAAAGTTCTTAATTGTGAGTCAGTGCTACCTGTTATTCAAGSTACCCAACCTACTCATTGTAACCACCACCCAGCTTCCAAGAACAGACAAATGTCACAACCGCCAAAGCTCARAGAATTTCACTGGGATGAAAATGAAAGTGATCGAGCCATGTGATGGGGCCCAAAATAACTTAGGGGGCGTGGGTATGTACACATAAACAACGACACTTTCCAGTAAATTATGATGTACAGTAACCTAATCCATTCACAACAAGCAGGTGCTTTTCCCAAGTTCTGTTCCACCCTGTTGCAGAAATTCGTGTATTGGTGACAGTCAGGGGGGAAAAGGCACCAAGTTTACCTTTCAGGTGTGCTCTTTGTGGTCACCCCACGTCCCTTCCAAATAATGCGAAATAAATGCTAAGAAAAAGGCTCTGGATGGACCCCAGTGTAACTACAACATTTCAAGGAAGTTATGGCTTATACCAGCCTTATCAGCTCCCAGGGACAAATTCAATACCAATAATACCTTAATTAAATCACTTAATCATACCRAGCACATGAAAATTCTGGTAATAGGTATTTAAATTGCAGATGAGTCACATAAAACTTGAGCGAGACATTGCAATGACTCCGATCAAATGAAAACTAACCAAAAAGYACAGCATAATTATTCTGGAGCTGTCATTTGATTTATGCAAATTAACATTTAGATATCTTAAGAGCAATTAAAATAATCATACCAACACCTCAGTTTAGAATCCTCTAATGGGTTTTGTCCCAGCTGTAGAAGAAAACTTCAAAGCTCTCTCCTTTCCAAAGTTGTCTTCCCAGAGCCAGAYGATGTAGAAAGCTGGAGACAGCCAGGAAATAACCAGCAGCTGAGCTCTCCTGCCACCAAACATCATGGGACTGCCACTGGGCTCCTGCTCCACACAAGAGTTTAAGACTAACTATTAACCTTAAAACACAGCCAAAAATTCCCCAAGTTCTTGACTTCCCTCCTAAATAACGTACCCCGCTACAAGGTGAACAAGCATTATTATTGACTATGAGACTCACTCTCTTTTCTGTAATTGTATTGAGATAAATCACTTATCCTGATGACATTATTTAGATATCCAAAAATCAACCCTCACTTACTGCACCAGAGCATATTTACGTCGAATTCTCCCTAGAGCTTCCAGTGGCACCTGCACAGTTCAAGCCAAGCCAAACCTTCTGTCAGCACCCTACCATTCCTCCCATCATGGGATGACTCAAATACCATATTTGCCAAAGACACTAAAATATCAAAATAATATTTGGATTTTTTTCTCTTACAAGCTCTTTAAGGTTCCTGCTAAAAAATACTCTGCTTGCTTTTTATCAGAATCCCCTTGCTTTTTGACAGACATGCGCATGAAGAAAGTAAAATATTCAAACTCAAAAAAACATTTACACTTCATAAACAAAGAAACTGTCCGTCTGCTCAAGGACACACTAGTGTGCTATCCCAGTTTGCTGAAAGCAGGTTTCAGATGCCCAGATTCACCTTCCTGACTCACAGACAAATCTAAATGCTGGGCAGACCCAGAGTTAAAACCACACCACAAAGATCCAGGGGGAGCAGAAGCCTCCTCAAATCCTCACCTAAGCCTCTGGGGACCACTGACATTGAAAAAAAAGTAAATTTTCTATAGCTCATGCTGTTCAAACCAATCCAGGCGACTGAAGCAACACAGTCTCAGCTTTCTCTTTAACATTAATTTCAGTTGGATAAGAAAAACTAGACTATCATCATCTTTTGGGGTTAGTGTGTTTCTCACAGGCCTAACTCCACAACCCTGAACTCCAACCACAGTGACAACTCTATTCTCTGATAAGAAGTGTTTACTGAGTTATTACCAGCACATTTTCAGCAACTCAAAAAAAAAAAACAAGGGCAGTTCTAGGCAAACTCAGGAACAGGACCGATTTGGCAGAGGGTGACAACCTCGAGMAGCACAGGCTGTTACAAGCCTGAGCACCATCAATAATTAACTCTACAGTGATATTTCCACATGACTGAGAAAGGGGGGTGTCTGGCACTGGAATTGGTTAATAAGGTCACTGCAGAAATCGCCACGCTGCTCCCTTAATTCCGTCTGCAAAATACACAGCTCGTTCTCCTTCTCCCGGCCGGAGCAGCGCAATCACCGCCTTGTTCCTGGCGGAATAAATCCCCAGCGGCAGCCACCGAATAACTRAGTTAAATTGTAACTCAAGAAAACTTGTTTTCCAACTTCTTACAGACCTCTCATATCGGCAAGAACCAGTTCCAACACTCTCACACCCTTCTCGCAGCGCAGATGGGCATGGAGGGAGCTAAAAAGCTCAGTAACTTCCAGCAAATGCACAATTTGAGCAGTGSCACTTATGAAATACTTTGTTTATGTTATGCATCACTTTGGAAACACTGGAAGGATACTAACTGCCATTTTTCCCAGGTAAAACATTTGTTCTTTTTATATTAACTGCCATCTAATTTCTCAAGCTATTCTGCAAATACAAAGCTGAATTAGTTGCCCCTCTTTCTCCACAGATGAAAGTTTATTACCAGTAGTAGCAGCACCTCTGTGTTATTGTTTATTTTGGATATGTAGCTGAACAAGCCGTACTAATGCAAGTACTTTCATACCCCATGATCTGTTCACCCTGAGGAATTCCCTTACTCCAGCTGTACAATTAATAACAAAGCACTGGCAATTGAGGTTTCATGCAATTTATAAAGGAAAACATATCCACAGAGAGCACAAAGTGTCCAGAAATACAAGCCCAGGGAGTTCCTCCCTCTGGCCACCTCAAAACCAGCTCTGTGAGCAGATCCWTGACCCACAGAATGGAGAAAACAGAGCAAAGGAGAAAGCACAGAGATGCTTCAGGTGACCTGTGCTGTATAAATCATTTCCTCACATAACCACAGAGGCAATTCTGGACATGAACAGCATCAGCACAGACACACTCCACCAGAGAATGGGGAGATGCAGAGGCAGCTGATGGTACCTCACCAAAGAACACAACACCCACCTTTGGGGTAGCAGAGATGCAGTTTAACGGCAAAAGAAATCATTACCATCCTTGATTAAAACACATATTTCAGAGCTCAGGGATTTTGGCCCATCACACACCAACAGAATTCAGCTGAGCCAACATAGCCTTTGCCCAACATAAAATCTCAGTCCTGCACAGGTCAGTGGCACAGGTCCAGGCTGAAAGGCCAAAGGTTGGTTCTGAGCCTGAGAGAGTTGGTGAGAATCAAATGATATAAAGATCCAATTCTAAAGTTGTAGAACTTAGTTACTAAGCACCTGAAAAAAATGTTACAGGGCTGACTCAGGCCTGTGCAACAGGCGAGGCATTTTCATCAGACACCATCAATGTTGCATTGATACCAAAAACTGAAAATACSAGTTCATTTAAGTGTGCTACAAACCAGTCTCAATTGCCCCATTGTCTCAATACTTGGAAAGAGAACTGACGCCATACACTGAGYACAAACATATTTTACATAAAATATCAGAGTGAAATGCTATGACTCAACGCTGCCATAGCACCAGTAGCAGCACTCAAGAATACAATTGTTTTATTCATATTTTCCACAGATATCAAAAGCTAAATCTTGTGATACCAATATGACGGCAATCATAACTATAAAGATAAATGAAACAACACTTCAAGTATTTCTTTTTCTCCTGGTCAAGCTGCTGTTGTGCAACTGGAAAGCAACAATGCAGTAYTGGCCACCAGCCCCCAGTGAGAACATGCCCTGCAAATCAGAATGTGCCACCATCAACACAAACAGCACATTTCAACCAGCCAGGGCTTCCACAGCCTAATCTCTTCTTTTAGAAGAYTAATTCTTTCTGAACCTGAAAACAGTAAGCACACTCAAACAGAAGTCCCTAACAGTGGGGTTTAGACCCACACCTGCACCCAGGAATGCTGAAGGATCTGTTCAAACCACTGCTGCTGTCACTCTTCAATATAGCAAGAAGGACCAAGGCAAGTAGAGAAGAAGGACATACATCCACACTTTTTCCATTGCTGTATTTCCAAAAGATTTGCCACCTTCCCTAAAGCAGAAATAAAATGTGATAGTGGGGATTAGCTCAAACTGCCTGTTGGTACAGCATGTGTTCAAATGCCACTGTATTTAAAAAAATAATTCCTTCTTAGTCCTTTCTTATTTCCAGTAATTTTATTTTTATACAATTGCCTAATTTTGCATTTCTCAGAATACTGGGCTTTTGTTGGAATTAGAAATGGACCAACCTAGCTAAGCAATTTATTTAGGAGTTTCATTTCAGAGTAGCTCTAGACAAATCAAATGCAGTTCCTGTAAGAATATAAATCTAGATGGCTGCTATCTTTGTTGCCACTTCACCCTCACGGAATGTCTGGCATGCCAGTTCATCTGCATGCACAACAAAGGGTCCTACTTACACAAAGCCCTCTAAACTACTCAAAGTGGAGGGAATTCATCCCAAATTATCTCTTTCTGCCTCTCACTAGAAAAGATTTTCACCTGGACAAAAA